ATACATATCAAATTCTGGAGCTGATCATCGACAAAAGAGTATATATAGCCCCTCGAGCCGTGCTCGAATCCAATAACCAGAATGATACTGCTGTAAAAATTTGATTGTATCCCCAAATTAAATATGTTCATTTTGAATCAAAATTCTCTTTCATTGTCATATACTTATACCCTATTATGTTGCTGACACTTTCGCAACTTCATTACCCAGAAATTAATCCACAAACAATCAACTAAACATGCAAATACCTATTCATTAACAATCCATAATAATTGATAAATTATAGTTCAGACAATCAAATTTCATGGAATTGAAGGAAAATCAAGCAAACCCAACTAAAAAAAATGGATAATTTGCCAATAAAAATGATAAAATCATAGCTATATTAGGAAAGTAATCGTCAATTACGAAATAATAAAAGCATAAATAAGCGTTATAACGAAATTGAAGAACTTACATAAAAAAAATAAAGGGAAGAATTGATCAGTTGTTGAATGATTGGAGAGTATAACTGATATATCTAGTTAGGATATGGAGGTCAAAATAGGCAGCATTTGGTGGTCTCTCTACAAACGTCATCCTCAAGCTCACACTGACGTTAAATGAGCTGAATAATGGATGGATTTTTTCTCCTCTTCAATTTACTCCTCAAGCTTACCTTTTTAAAGATATTTTTGCCAAAAACAAAAACTAGTAAGTCAAAGGACAAAACATGGAAAAGTCGAAAATGATACTCGTTATTTAAGAAAAAAAAAATATTTACATAAAAACCTTTTGACTGTTAAAAATATTTTACCAATAGAGATATTGGAGAGTAATGAGATAAAGAAGTAGTATAGTAGTGCTCCGTTTATATTTTTGCTTGTGTATAATTTACACTTACATGACTTTGTATATATATAGTCATAAGTAATGCTAAAAGTACAATAATCACTCATATATAGCCATATGAGTTCACATGTCTTTGAACCTATATGAGCATTGTATAACCAAATCAATAATTGGTATTTACTTTATTAGACTTATCTTCTAACACCCCCCCTTGAATGCCCATACTCATACAGAAAAAGGTATATGTTGCCTCATTAAAAACCTTGCTAGGTAAAACCTTGTGGGACAAAAAACATAGCTAAGGAAAAAGAGTACAACGGTATTGTATTATATGCTTTGGTATACTGCCTCGTTAAAAACCTTGACAGGAAAAATCCAGTGGGATATAAACCCGATCGAAGGGAAAAGGAGTGTATTGCATATAATACTCCCCCTGATTTCAGCATAGTTCACGAAGATGTCGTATTCAAATTTTGTGAACTAATTTCTCAAATTTCTTCGGAGCAAGTGATTTAGTGAACAGGTCGGCAAGGTTGTCACAAGACTGAATTTGCTGGATATCTATTTCCTCATCCTTTTGCAGATCATGTGTGAAGAATAGGTTTGAGAATATATGTTTTGTCCTATCTCCCTTAATATATCCTTCAGTTACTTGAGAGATGCATGTTGTATTGTCTTCAAAAATGATGGTTGGATTTTCCGTTATTGCGATTATTTTCACATTCTTCTTGGATATTATTGATCTTTGACATCATCCATACACATTCTCGTCCTGCTTCATAATGAGCTATCAACTCTGCAGGATTCGAGGATGTTGCAGTCAATGTCTGCTTTGTTGATTTCCATGATATTGCAGTGCCGCCATAAGTGAACAAATATCCAGTTTGTGACTTGGCATTTTGTGGATCCGGTAAGTATCCAGCGTCTGCATACCCAACGAGAGCAGCATCTTGTTTTGGTTTATAATATAAACCGAGATCTTGTGTCTCTCGTAGGAACCGAAGTAAGTGTCGGACTCCCTTCCAATGTCTGTATGTCGATGCATTGTTGAACCTGGCTAACAAGTTTACAGAGAAATCTATGTTGGGTCTAGTGTTGTTAGCTAAGTACATTAAAGCTCCACTAGCACTTAAGTATGGTACTTCTGGACCCAGAATTTCTTCATTTTCCTCTCGTCTGAATGGATCGTTTTTCATATTCGAAGAACGTACAACCATTGGAAAGTTCATTAGAGTTGCTTTGTCCATGAAGAATCTTTTCAAAACTCTTTCTGTATAGTTTGATTGATGGACAAAAATACCATGACTCAAGTGCTCAATTTGCAATCCAAGGCAAAATTTAGTTTTTCCAAGGTATTTAATCTCAAATTCTTTCATCAAGTATTTTGCAGTTTTCTCAAGTTCATTTGGGGTTCCAATAATATTTAGATCATCAACATAAACTGCAATAATAGCACGTGAATCCTGATTGTGATCGCTTAATGAAACACAGGGACGAATTTGGTTGTTCTTGAACCCTTCTCTCATAAGGTATTCACTGAGACAGTTATACCACATCCTTCCAGATTGTTTCAATCCATAAAGTGACCTTTTTAGTATTATGGAAAGTAATTGTCTAGGATTGTGATTTTCTGGTAGTTTTAGTCCTTCCGGGACTTTCATGTAAATGTCTATATCGAGTGACCCATACAAATACGCAGTCACTACATCCATTAATCGCATTTGCAGTCCTTTTGTGACTGTCAAACTTACCATAAATCTTAATGTAGTTGCATCAACTACTGGAGAATATGTTTCTTCATATTTAATCCCTGGAATTTGAGAAAATCCTGGGGCTACAAGTCTTGCCTTGTATCTAACTATCTCATTTTTCTCATTACGTTTTCTCACAAATACAGATTGGTATCCAACAGGCTTTACACCTGCTGGTGTAAGAGTTATTTTTTCGAAAACTTCTCGTTTTTCAAGTGACTTTAACTCAGCTTGCATTGCCTCCTTCCACTTTGGCCAATCATTCCTATGTCGACATTCTTCCACTGTTCTTGGTTCAACATCATTTTCATCAAACACAATGTCGATTGCAATGGAATATGCAAATATTTCATTTACGATAACATCTTTTCTATTCCAATGAATCTTGGTAGAGACATAATTCATTGTGATTTCATTGTTATCGATGTCTTTGTCATCTTGTTCATTCCCCGTAGGGTTGTCTTCTTGTTCATCCCCTTTTAGTTTATCATCATTTTCTTTACTTTCATCCACATTTGGTCTTTCTTGACCTTCTAACGGGGGCACATCATTAGTCTCATTTACTAATCCATCCAATCTTTTCAATTTTCCTCTGTTTAGAATCTTTTGAACCAAGTGGTCTCCTACGCTTTCTACGCACTTGAGATTCATTTTCTATGGCCTTACCAGTTGGAATTTCAATACGTGCAGGGGAATTTTCTGCTAGTATATGTGATTTTGTCACTTTCTTTGTGTCTACAAATGCATCATACAATTGATTTGCAACACTTTGTAAATGATCAATTTTCTTGACTTCTTGTTCACACACATTTGTTCGTGGGTCTAATATCAACAGCTGTGTTGCGTTCCAAATAAGTTATATTTCTTTCTTGCGTGGGTCTACTTTCTCTCCCCCTAAGGCTGGGAATACTGTTTCATTAAAGTGGCAGTCGGCAAATCTAGCCGTAAATAAGTCACCAATCAATGGTTCAAGATATTTAATCATAAAGGGGGATTCAAACCCGACATAAATTCTCAGCCTTCTTTGTGGACCCATTTTTGTTCGTTGGGGTAGAGCAATGGGAACATATACAACACAACCAAAGATTTTTAGATGTGAGATACTTGATTCTCGACCACAAACAAGTTGTAGTGGTGAGAATTTATGATAAGCTGTAGGTCTCAATCTGATAAGCTGTAAGTCTCAATCTAATTAGTGCTACTGCATGTATTATAGCATATCCCCAAGCAGATGATGGCAATTTTGACCTCATTAATAATGGTCTTGCAATCAATTGTAATTTCTTGATTAGTGATTCAGCTAGATCATTTTGTGTATGAACATGAGTTATTGGGTGTTCAACAACAATTCCAATTGACATACAATAATCATTAATTGTTTGAAATATAAATTCCCCAGCGTTGTCGAGTATTATTTTCTTTATTGTATGATCTGGGCATTGTGCTCTTATTTTGATAATTTGGGCAAGTAATTTTGCAAAGGCAACATTTCTACTTGAAAGTAGACTAACATGTGACCATCGAGTAGAAGCATCAATTAAAATCATGAAATATCGAAATGGTCCACATGCCGGATTAATTGGCCCACAAATATCTCCCTGAATTCTTTCCAAGAATTTTGGAGATTCAGTAGCAATTTTGTTCATAGATAGCCTTATTATTAATTTGCCAAGTGAACATGCAGAGCATGTTAATTCATCTGATCGAGGAATTTTGACATTTCTTATTGAATGTCCAACTGAATTTTCTATAATTCTTTGCATCATCCCAGTTGCTGGATGCCCCAAACGATCATGCCATAAAATAATCAAATGTTTGTCATCTAACTTCTGGTTAGATATCATATTGATTTCCACGGGTCGTATGTTTATACGATATAAACCCGAAGCATATAGTGGCAATTTCTCATAAACTTGTTTCTTACCATATTTATCTGTCGTGAGGCATAAATACTCTTTTTGACCTATTGTCATTGTTTCTAAATGATAGCCATTTTGGCGTACATCTTTAAAGCTTATGAGATTTCTTCGAGATTTACTAGAATATAAAGCATTATTGATTATCAATTTTGTTCCATTTGGAAGCATTATACAAGCCTTTCCAAATCCTTCAATTAATTTAGCTGACCCGGAAATAGCTAGTGTTTACATTTGCTTGAAACAACTTTAGTTGTGAAAAATATTGTCTATCCTTCAAGATACTATGTGTTGTTCCACTGTCAAAAAGTCATTGATATTCGGAACTAACTTCGGTCAGATCCAAATCTTCATAAAATAATTATGAGATTAGTTTAGAATAATATCATACAAACTTTTATTGATGATAGAAATTAAAAGTACATGCCTAGAAATTTAAAATAAAGTACATAAAAGAAAATACATTAAAATATAATATATATTACATTAGTAGATGGGAAATCTAAACATCGTTATTTTCTCCAAAGATGAAATCATTTCCAATTTCAGCATTGTCCATGAAATAATCAGACACATCAAGGCTAGGGCAAGGAGCAATTTCTTCATTAACATAATTTGCTTCTTCATTTGTCCCTTTGCCTTGTACAGAAACCTGGTAAAGATCTACCAAACGTTTGGTTGTACGACAAGTACGTCCCCAATGCCCTGTCATGCCACATCTGTAACATGTGTCTTTTCCTTTTGAAGAAGTTTGTTTGTGGCTTCTAGATGATTGTCCCTTCTGTTTTTCAGAATTTTTGAAATTACTGTTTCTCTAAAAATTATTTCTACCACGTCCACGGCCTCGTCTACAATAATTTCCACGGCCTCTTCCACGGCCATTGCAATTTCCACGTCCACCTCTTTGTGTTGCATTTGCCTCGGGTGGATAAGAATTTGTGGCATTTGCCTCATGAGTGGCCAAAGACCCAATTGGTCTAAGATTATGATTTTTCAACAAAAGATCATTATTTTGTTTAGTAACAAGCAATACACTCATCAATTCATTAAACTTTTTGAAGCCTCTTTCACGATATTGTTCTTGCAACAGTATGTTGCTTACATGAGAGGTAGTGGGTGTTTTCTCAATCATCTGTTCATCGGTGACCGGATGATCATAGTATCTTAGTATAGATACTATCTCATGTATGGTTGAATTGTAATCAGTTATAGATTTGAAATCCTAGAACCGTAAATTTGTCCAGTCAAATAATGCCTTAGGAAGGAGCACCCTTTTGTGGTGTCCAAATCTTTCATTAAGGCAATCCCATAATTCTTTAGGATCTTCAAACATCATATACTCGGTTTTAAGGCCTTCATGTAAATGATGCCTTAACATCACTAAGGCTTTTGCCTGTTCTTGTTCAATTACAGGTTTTACAACCGCCATTGCAGAAGTGGTAGTATCAGTTGTTTAACCACAGGGACTTTTATTATCTTTAATAGTGTGCTCCAACCCTTGAGCTTTCAAATTCATCATTGCATCCACTTTCTATTCCAGAAATTTCTTTCGAGATAAATCTAGGATGTTGAACTGTCTTTTCAAAAGGTCTCCCATTTTAGCTACAACAAATTACGTGATTATTAGTTTATAATAATAAATCATATGTTTAATTCTTCCATATTTATAGTTAGGTTAATGAAACACATGATAATAAAGTATTATTTAACAATAATAAACCATAAATCATATAGTTCTTTTCTCCCCCTTGGTTTATTATTGTGATTAAATATATAATTAGGCAAAAATAAATCATGTTAGTCACAAAAACAGCAAAACAACAACAATAACAGTAGTAACAATAATTATAATAAAAATGTAATATTATACAATGATGATTAATAACAACAACTCAACATAATAAAACAAAAACAAACTTTTAATATACCAAAACGACAAAATAAATGAGCTTCACTTGAGTATAATGACAAAAATTAATATTGCTACTAATAAAACTACGAGCGCCATAATTAGAAGGAAATATTATTTTATTTTCCTTAAATCTTCCTCAAAAGTGAAGGTGTGAGTGTTTTGGTTGCCGTTGACGGAAAACATATCGGAGAAGAAGGGGGTGAAAAAAAAATTGGGTGATTTTTGGATAAAAAATGGGAAAGGATAAGGGATTTGTGGTGAAATCGGGAGAAAAATCTGCCTTTTATAGTGGTAGGTTTATTTGTAACTATTTTGTACGGCTGTAAAAATATCATATAATGGTCTAATGTACCGGCAAAAATTATGGTCCAAATATAAATATTTATAATTGTAGAAGGTTATCACATTGGGAATGCAAGTCATAGTGGTTTGAAAGCCCTAATATCTATAAAAGATCATGAGTTCGAAAACGGAAAGAAACACAAAAAGTACGTAAAAGAAAGAACAGTAATAAGTGCATATAAAAAAAGGCTGCATCTCTTTATTTTTTATTTTTATTTTTTATTTTTTATTTTTTTTATAGTCAATATACATGTAATTTACTATTATGCAATCACATAACTAGAACTAAGTTTTACGTAAAAAGGTTGAGTATATAATATCAACATGCATGAATCAAACAAAAAACCAAAATACCAACATGAATTAAATAAAAAAAAACGAGGATAGTAACGATTTCATAAGTAAGGGAATTTTCCACCGGTTTTTTTGAGATATAATTTGCACAATATATATTATATTAAATGTTTGAGTTTCTGGTATAGACGATCCCAAATATGGGCAACTATAGAGTATACTCAAAACATTTAGAAGTAGATAGTATTGTTTGTTATAAATTTTGAGAAGTAGGTATAAATATACCTGACTAGGAATTGGTGCAGATAACATGTTAAAAATATTTTACCAATATAGAAATTGGAGAGTAACGAGGTAAAGAAGTAGTGTAGTAGTGCTCCAGTTATATTTTTGCTTGTGGTTAATTTACACTTACATGGCTTTGTATATATATAGCCATAAGTAATGCTAAGAGTACAATAATCACTCATATATAGCCATATGAGTTCACAAGTCTTTGGACCTATATGAGCATTGTATAATCAAATCAATAATTGGCATTCACCTTATTAGACTTATCTTCTAACATTGAAATTTTTATGGTAGAGGCGGATGTACCAAGTTTAGTACTCCGTACATCCAGCCTTTTAATTTTGTTTTTTTAAAAAGTAGAAAGAATATACTACCTCTGTTTTTTTTATGTGCAACTTTTGCCATTTTAGTCTGTTCACTACTATGTGCAACTTTCTATTTTCTTTCTATTTTTAGTAAACAAAAACCCTGAAAATTACAAATTTACCCTTACTTAAAAATTCAGATTTTCTTAATGTTACCCTTATCTTATTTTAATCACAATAACTTTTTTATCTAATCTAAAATCATTAACCTAATTTTACCCACCCATTTACTCATCTACCCACCACCCATTCACCCTCTTCATCTTCTTCTTTCTTCTTTCTCTCTCCTCCATCTTCTTCTTCTTCTTCTTCTTCTTCTTCTTCTTCTTCTTCTTCTTCTTCTTCTTCTTCTTCTTCTTCTTCTTCTTCTTCTTTCTCTCCTCCAAAAATGTCAGGATATACCCACCAATTCACTCCCAAACACCCCAATTTCTCACATTCACTCAATTCATCACAATTTAGCAACTAACACTACTTCCCATTATAAGCCACTTCTTCCACCACCCTCTCACCGGAAAACAAACCCCACAAACTCAAGTTTCCAGAACTTTCTTCCGCCATGGGAGGACCTTCAAGGAGGACCTTCACCTTCACCATCTTCATCCTCGCCATTACAACGATCTCAGTTCAAGCAGGCAACGAAATTCGACAACGAAATTCGCCGCTGCAAAATGGGATTTACGCTTCCGATTTGTTTCGTTTTTCGTTTTTGTTTCATGTTTTTATTGTTAATTATTGTAGATCTACAATTTTTATTGTTAATTTTCCGTTTTGTAAGCTTATTGTATGTTTTTGTATTGTAAATTTTCCGTTTTATTGTTATTTTTTATTGTTGATTATTGTATTTCTATTGTTAATTTTCCGTTTTATTGTTAATTTTCTACGTAGATCTACAATTTTTTTACTTTCGAAATTTCTGGGTTTTTTTTGGGATTTTGTTCGATTTTTTTCAGTTAGGGTTAGTGTGGTGAGTTGGTTACGGTGGGGTGACTGTGTGGGTGGAGCTGCCGGATTTTTGGGTGGTTTGGGGTGGTCTGGGGGTGGGTCTGGGTTGGAGGTGGTCGGGGCTGGTGGTGGAGGGGAATGTTAGATTTCTAGGTTTTTTGGTTAGGGAGGGGGCTGCCGGAAAAAGGAGGGAAAGACGTGAGGATGGTGGTGGTTTCGTGGGGTTGGTTGTGGTGGTGGTTTCGTGGGGGTGGTAGTGGTGATGAAGGCGGCGGCGGTGGTGGCTAGTTTTGGTGGTGGAAGTGGGTGGTTTGATTAATTATCCAAATATTTTCTCTCCACCTTAATTACATATTCCTATAATATATTAATCACCATTATACTTTCTTAAACTTTATCCTTCAATCTTTTGCTTCATGAACCGCAATATGGCTCAAACTTGCACATAAAAAAAACGGAGGTAGTACAAAGTATAACTATTTTATAAAGAACATCCAGCGTTATGTCTTTTTTGTATATTACCGATGTATTTTTGTTATATCATTTATGTTCTTTTGTTTTATCCCTTATGCACTTCTTTTTTTTTTTTTTTTTTTTTTGTGTTAATCTTGTATGTTTTTTTAGTGATGATGTTCTTTAAGTTAACTCTTATGGTTTTTAAATTTAACTATTATGGTTTTTGAGGTATTGAACAACACATAATATATGTTTTGATATATGTTATTCTTAAATTAGATTTTAACGCCATTTTTAATAATTAAAATATTAATTGTGATTCTTTTTTTTTATGTATTCTATGTTTTTTATAAATATTATTTATCATTATTTAACAATTGTTCATAGTATTCTTGAAATCAAGATTATGAAATTTGATGACGATGTTCTTTTAGGAAATCCTCTATTTATGACTGATTTTCAAATCTAAAAAACATCCGTGATATCAATAAAGAACATGGTAATATTATGTAGTAAGCTTTATTTATTTTTACCCACCCTAATCTAAAAACAAAATTCAAACAACATTTCACTATAAGGAATGAACATTATGTCACAAATAAAAGTACATTACACTAACAATAAAAAAACATGGGCATTTACGATGGTTTATCAAAAGATCTAATAAGGACCATTCTGATATAATAATATACATATAAAAAGAACATATATAATAATATACCTATAAAAAGAACATAGTGTTAATAATTAAGTACATTATGTTTTCTGATAAAGAACATTATCTAATCATATGAATGAATGAAGAACTTTACAAGGAATAGATATGTCAATCATTAATATTTACGAAATATATTATAATTAAATATAAAAAGAAAAACTATAATATTTATAATAAACATGATAATATTATATAATGAACCTTATTTAAATTTAATTAGCATGATCCAAAGACAAAAATTTGAAAAATGAAAATTTAAATTTTGAATTTTGAAAAATGAAATCTTAAATTATTTTTAGGAGAAAATTATTTTGAGAAACTTTTTTTTTTTTTAAAAAAAATATTTACCATTAAATATAGGTTAAATATTTACCTAGTATTTAAAGTAGATGCTTGGAAATTATCATGTTCATTACATTTAACAATATGTTCTTAACAATACTATAATGTGTTCTTTACAATTATATAATATGTTCTTTAACAATATGTTTTTTTCACTCTGGCTATATGTTCTTTATATTTCTGTAATATGTTTGTTTCGCCTTTTATATTTGGGAACGGATGTACCATGCGCATGGTACATCCGCCTCCACATACCACAAATTAGAAGGGCATTTCATTTCTCTCTACGACTCTCGTTTCACTATATCTTTCTCTCTCATTCAAATTAAATTCCCTCTCTAACTTAGTCCGTGTTTCAGTTTTTCATTCCACTCTGATCATAAACCCTAAGTTGTGAAACATAAATTCCTTGAGCAAAATATTTTCAATGAAGAATCTAAGGTTTTTTTTGGTGTGCAATTTCTTGGCAATTACAATCAATTTCCCCCATTTTTAAACATCATAATCACCACTAAAACTAGGGGTGTCCACTATTTGAATTAGAAAGAAATCCAATTATATCCAAATCGAATTATCAATTCGAATCATATTCGAATTTTACATCGAATCGGATCAGATTGAATTCTTTTGAAAATTCGGATTTTCAGATCAGATCAGATCGGATTGAATTCTTTATTAAAATTCGAATTTTCGGATCAATCGAATTGACCTTATTTGGATCCAAAAAACCAAAATAATTGAAATATGAAATCGTTATTTTATAA